AGTTTAACATGGGCCATTGTAGAATAGAATATTGCTTTCAGATGCAGTCAACCACCTTTATATTTTAGTCATTGTTTCATAAGGTGCTACTTGAAATATTAAATTATTTCCCTTATAATGTTAGAGCCACATGCCATTTCTGTACTTCTAAATTCCTGCTTTTATAGTGTGTTAATTGATAATGGATTGTACTCACTTACTTTTGCATGATCACCGATAAGAACATAACTTCTACTTAAAGTGGAGAAAGTACAGTGTCTTGATTTGTTGAAATACTTGATTTGTTGAAAGATGATTCTGAAGAATGATTCTTCTCTGAGTGTCCATCAGGTATATTTGACATGTTTACAGCAGTAAAGAGATTAATTTTAAGGAGATAAGGACAGGGGATTGAAAAAGGAAAGTACATGAGATATTCTGTATGAACAATGTGGACTTTGGAACCCTAAATTTTAATAACAAAAGTACAGGACGGTTCTTTTATAAAGCATTAAATATATAATGGTGCATAGTTTTAAGGATTATTGGTGCTATAGCAGGGGTCCCCAACCCCTGGTCACAGACCGATACTGGTCCACAGCTTGTTGGGGATCAGGCTGCGCAAGTGGCAGGCGATTGCACGAAGCTTCATTTGCACTTGCGTCGGAGCTAGGTTGCGTGCATGAAACCATCCCATCCCCCAGCCACCGCTGCCAGTCCATGGAGCAAGAAAGATTGGGGACCTTTATACTACAGCATGTGGGAATGATCAGTACTACTTAAGAAACTTTATGACATCATGAATGGTAATGGACTTGGATGTTTTTCATCAGTAAACTCACCTTGGGTTAGCCACAAATTTGACCAGTCACAAATTCTCAGCCTAGGCCAAGAGATCCCAATCTTTTCGCACTGGGTGACATTTGAAATGCTCAGCAGTGTTATAGAGCTGCCACTAAACAGCTGGCAATGATGATTATGGTCAGTGATAAACTACCCTTTTACCAGAAGACAATGTGATGCTGCTGCTCTTGATCACTACTTCTACTTTTCCATCATACTCTCTAGTTTTACCTTCTTTTTTCTCTCTCCAGGCTTATTGTACTCCCAAAGAATTTGGGTGTATATTAGATGAAAAACTTTATTTGAATTAAAGATTATATTTGAGGCTTTAAAAACATTTTATTTCTGCAGTATACTGCTTTTTAAATTAAAATAATATTAAAAAATCAAATAAAATATACCTTGTCTGTGTATGTCAGGGAAGGTGTCTACACTACTTAGGAAGAAGGCTGACCCATACTGTATTTTTCATTTTATCTGATTAAAATTATGGGTTTTGGGAGAAGAATTGAGACCAAAAATGAATGTAAGTGAAGAAAAACCTATTGAAAATAAAAAAACAGCATTGCACAATGTTAATATGTATCCAGGTTTTTTTGAAATGTTGAAAGTTTAGGAGTAAAAGAATCTGGATTCTTTTCATATCCATTTTTATATACATAGAGATGCGTATGCATACATTAACATGTGCATGTATTATATACACAGTATGATGTATATCTTCATCCAAATTTTCTTGACCTCCACATTTTACTAAGGATTTTAATGGAATTCTTTTCCTAATATACTTAAAATATAGTTCATGTATTAAATGTATAGTATCTTCTTTGTTTAAAGAAATGTGACTTTTTAATGTTTCTGATTAGGAAATGTAGAAAAATGACAAAAAGAAAAGTATTCATTTGAATTTTTAGGTTTGCTTGAAGTTTTTCTTAAAACTGCAGTTAACTGAATATGTACTGTATCTGCTAAGTTGCTGAGACCACATAACTGGAACTTTCTTTTTCCCCCATCTGAGTTTACAACTGTATTGGTTTCTGGTCTGTTCCCAAAATTATTCAAACTGTTTGTCTGTCCCTTTAAATCCCTATATACATGGGGGAACAAATAATTGAAGAGATTTCTTTTTCCAACATCAAACCTCTCCGTATGCTGAGATCACTTTTGGGGGTCTCTCACAATGTCCTTGCAATATGAATTTGAGAATGACAAAGACATAAACTGTTTTGATAATGCCGTCCTGAAAGTTAGAATATTTTCCTCACATGTAGTTAGTTGTCTTATATTCATTAAGATTTGTTCTAATCACTGGATGAAGGTTTTAAGTTTCCTTTAGCCCTGTTTTTATTTTTGCTTTGATATCATTTATTACTGTCACTGTCTTCTTATTTTATTACTATTATATTTGTAAGTTCTGATTTTTTTTAATTGAAAAGAGGAAGAAAAATAGTTTTCAGTCTTTTAGTAGGAGCAATTATGTATTTAATTTGATAGTTTTCATTATGGATTGAATTATACTATAGATTAAAAATGTTTTAGTCAGCTTTCTTTTATATAGATTATGTTGTGTGACTAAATTAATAGTAGTTTTTAATAGAAATTTGGTCAAACAGTATACCAGTTCTAAGATTTTTAGAATAGAAAAATGTAGTGTTAAAGATACCAGTTTTAATTCTACTGCAATTTTTCTCTCCCTTAAAAGTTATGTACGGCAGTTAATATATTGAAAAGAAATTTTATCCAGGCAGATGTATCTTTTTATGAAAAAAGTAATATTAAAAATAACTATTTGTTTAAAATATTTGTCTAATTCATTTTTAATGTTTCATTACACAGTCAGCGCGATGTTCAGATTGGATTTGGCATTTTTATTCTATCGAGCATTATTGATTTCATTTATTATTTTAATAGAATTAATTAATAAAGCTATTTTATTAAATTGTTCTCAGTTTGAGTTTTTCCTCTGTATAACTGAGGTCTAGGGAATTAAGGACATTATGTCAGCAAAGCTACTTTAAATCTTCAATATTTGTAATGCATGGAATTATTTGTGAACTGGAATAAAGGAAATGGGATATGGCTTTCATGTTGCAATTAGTATGCTTGCTGAGCAGTTAGTTGCCATATTCCATGTCCTATTTATTTATTGCATTTATACATTGTCTTTTTCCTGGCAGCTTAAAGTATGATAGGTGCAAATATTTCCTCATTTCATTCTCACAGAAATAAGTGATTTAGGCTGCCATGAGAAATTGACTAGGCCAGAATTGCTCAGTGAGCTCCACAGTTCATATCTTTGTCAGTATACTACTGAAAACAAAATAAATGTATATTTCTTTCAAATGTGATAGGACATATGCAGGTTTTCTCTGCATAAGATACAACTTTCAATATAATGTACTTCATATATGACAACATTCTGATATTTTGTTATATCTATATCTGGAAAAAATAAATCTTTGGTGGATATATAGTTACAGGACTCTGCTTAAATGTATATTACATTATCCTAGTGTAGTTGTAAAAAAGAAACAAATGAAAGACAGAACAG